AGGGGATTGAAAATCATTAATCTGATGTTTCTTTGAACTTTTTGTGTAAACCACTTATATCAATGTTTTGTGCACTGGATACTCATCTAAAATGCTTAACTACCTGATCTTGTCAGAACTACAAATCAGACTCTCCTGGGGTATGGTTGAGGTATTAGAATTATCTATAAATGCTCACATTTTATCTTCCTGAATGGAGAATAATGACAAAGTGCTAGGCAATCTCTCTCTGCAGGGAGCACTACACCTCCTCCAAAATCACCCGACCCATTGTGGGACAGAGGTAGAAAACACCGTTGGTGTCCTCTGTTCCACACACTGGCCTCAGCTTCCCACACAACATGACTTTATTCAGGGTCCCTTTGCTCTGCTGTCCGAGGCCAACTCATCTCTTTTCCTTGGCACATTGCTTCCCCCACCTCGCCCCCCCCCCCCATTATACCATAAGGCTGAGCAGCTAAAGCTTGAAGCTTCCAGCTCTCAAGGTGTCTTCCAGACTGGGATGTAACTCTGTGTGTATTTGGTATCCAGCATGGAGTCCTTGAAGCCCAGGGGGACTTGCAAAGTCCAGACTGGGCTTTGACCAGGGTTGTGTCAGGAGATGGTAGGAGAGTGAGGGCTCTACCCCTGTCCTTTTCCTTCATCTCATACTCCAGAGACTGTCCACAAGATACCTTGTGAACTACACACATCCCACATAACTCATATCCTCCTTTCCTGGCAGGTGGTGCAATGGTGGCTAGCACATGTGTGCCTCAGTTTACACCACTGCTCCTCCTCCCTGGATCTTCGCTCTGCTGTCCAAGTGGCCCCAACAAAATATAGTCACATTCATCCTTGCCTCTGGCTGGATTCCAGAAAAGCCAGGTGTAGACACCATCAAGCAGGTATTATCTAGAATAGCCAGAAAATAGGTCCTTCCTCATTGTTATGTCAAGTATGAAACAGAAATTGTTTTTATGGGTATGTAAGCCATCATTCTTTCTGGAACTTAGCCTTTATGACATTTTTATATACAGGCAGCCATTCCAGGATTTATTTCCTTTGAACAAAAAGAAGAACATTTCTGCCAGTCCACCTTACTAATTTAAAAAATCAATTTTCTTCTAGATGCATATAGGAATAGAAATCTAGCAATCATCTGGCCTTAAATTTATACTAAACCATACTTACATGTTAATATGACATTGTGTATATGTTAGAAACATTACATCTTAAGATATTTTGCCAAGTTAACCAGCCCTATAAAAGTCCATTATTTTCTCTACAAACAGAAACTACAAGAACAAGTTCTCCATGATTAATGAAGATGGAGTGCCCATATATAAACTTCAAAGAATTCTTAGAAGAAAATAAACATGAAATTTGTGGTGCACAGAGGAGATGGAATGCAGGCAGGAATGGGACGTCTACGGATGAGGGAGGGCATCTCTCCCATAAGCCACTGCGTCATAGAAGTGATTTTGAGAGCAAGGCAGTTACATTCTCCAAATATCTCATCCACCCCAAGGCAGAGCCTCCCCAAAGCCTTCAGTCACCCTGAATCCCAACTCTTACCTCTTTTTAGAGACTGGAGCCCAGGCCCTACTGCACACAGCCTCATGCTGGCAAAACTGCACCATCTTGTTATCTTTCCAGAGAGCCATTTGTGTTTCCCTACTCTCCACCTCTCAGAAGTCATTTGTTCCCTCTGATTTCTGCCCACCCCATACCCACTGGCCCCCACTTCTCACAGCCTGTGGCAGTCACATCTGCCTCAAATAAAAAGCCATTCAAAGAATATGAATCTGTTGCTCATCAGTTTAATTTGCACATCTCTGAACCCTGGGTATAACAGAGTAGAGGGGAAGACATTTCCTCTTTGCAAAGAGTAACCATGGTAGATTCGTTGCTCAGTTACCAGTAAAACATCACCAAGGCATTTGTCCAACGGGCTGCGTGTCTGAAAGCTGTGCCCACGAATGATGCCCAAAGCCATGGAGAAAAAGAGAAAATCCAAGTAATTGCAATTGTGATTAATTTTATAGGTACAACCACACCTTTTTAGCCCCAATTAAAAGACTTGCAAATGACACTTGATGAAAACCAAGGGTTTCTACAGAAACTAGCTAGCTAGTGAAGCAAAACATCAAGACAAGCCCTTTCCTTAATGTCACAACTAAAATGGACACTCGGCTTTTTTTTTTGTTATAAGTAGGCATTTTCAATGGTCCACTTTGAAGACAGCTACTCATTTACTTTCATCACACCCAGAATCACCTAGCCACAGAAGATCAGTGGATACCACCAATACTTCACCCACAACTTGCCTGATGCTCTGCTTTCCTGTTTCCTGCAGGCTAGGTCACAGGGATCTGTTATTTGTCGTACCATTGTGATTGAGATGAGAAAGGCAACAACAAACCTAATTTCTCCGATAAGACCCAGCTCTCCCATTAACCTCAAGTTGACACCACCCCACCCTTGAGCTGCCTAGATACAGCAGAGATCTGCATGGGACTCCTGTACTTCCGTCCTGGGACCCTGGAATGCCATCTTTATGAGGAAATCGTTACTGTGCAGAATGAGGGATTTTCTTCAAAAGTTAGTTCATTTGAAGACTACGGACATTCGAGGATTTCCTCAGCTACCTGTTTTCTCTCCATATTTGGCACATCATGGCCTAACTTCAGACCATGACTGCACACCTTGCCCTAGGAAGGACACGTCCTATTTACGACCCACAATCCCACATGCCACCCAGGCACAGCCGTGAAACGGAGATGGTTTCTCCTGGGCCTCCACCATGGCTCTCCATGGATCTAACACCCGAGTGCTGGGCAGAAATGCCACTAGCAAGTGACGGTGACGGTGGATGGTGATGTCACCTTTTCACAACACAGCAGGCATTCACAAAATAATTCCAGAACCATCCAACTGCTCCCATTTATATAAGCTCCAGAATCATCCAACTGCTCCCATTTACATAAGCTCCCTGCTTGGGCAGAGGTGAGAAATCAAAGTTCCCTTCACTGTGTTCCCAACATGCAAGGTCATCTTTCCAACCACCATGCACAGACACAAACAAGAATGGAGGTGGCATACCCACCCAGAAAACAGGAGCACTAGAAAAACCTAAACATTTCCCCGGGAGAACAAGTAAATGAAAACAAAAAGTTCAATTTTCCTAGATAAGACTCTCACAGTCAAGCATAACATATTTACCTTGTAATGTGCGTTTGTGAGGTTGAAAAGAGATTTGTTTCCTGCCCATGAAAAATACCAAGTGACAATGTTCTAAGGGGCAGCACTCATCCAGCAGCATTGTTTTCACAAACTGCTTCCTTACATGGAAAACTCCTTTGTGTAACTATTTAAAGATAATTAAAAAGAAAAAGAAGGGCTGGGAAGTTGGCTCAGTGGTAGAGTGCTTGCCTCTCATGCACGAGGCCCTGGGTTCAATTCCTCAGCAGAAAAAGCCAGAAGTGGTGCTGTGGCTCAAGTGGTAGAGTGCTCACCTTGAGCTGAAGAACTGAGGGACAGCGCCCAGGCCCAGAGTTCAAGCCCCCATGACTGCCAAAAAAAAAAAAAAAGAAAGAAAGAAAAAAAGAAAAAAGAAAACTATCTACCATCCATCCGCAGGAGCACAATTTAGATACTGGGGTGCACTTGGAAAATTTAACTTCAGGTCATAGATCTCAACTTATTTGACGGAGTAGATTTGGAAGTTGTTTCCAGATGGAAAGGGACAGGCAGCGTAGATTAGGTGAGAAGAGCATGCTGTCTGGACATAAGGACACCGGGATGGAAATACACAGCATCCGTGAGAATATTCTAAGAAAATGATGATACTCTTGATGTTGGGTCATGTGGCTCCAAGTTGTAGCAAATAAAGAGAGCAAAATAAAGAGGGATGAGCTGGATTTGAGAAACACTGAGCCATTTCCTGGGGGCCATTAATAACTCACAAAAGCAAACACAAGCCCTTTGTTCCCTGTGTTGTCCTGCTCTCACTGGTTTTGTTTTAGGGTTCTGGTGGTGCGAACTCAGAACCTGGGACCTACTGTGCAGGCAAAAATCCACTCAGACATGCCTCTCACGCCCCACTCCTCATGCATTTACTTGGTGATTCTGAGGAGTGTCTCTCGCTTTTTGCCTAGGACCACAATCATCCTACGTCATTGCACTTCCCACCAGAGCAAAGATGACACAACATGTATGCATGGTCGCACCCAGCCAGCTTGTCTCTGTTGGGATCTTGCAAACGCTTTTGCTTGGGTTATCCTGTACTTCAACATGGTCTTCCCCATCTTCCCCATCAATTAGACTGCTGAGTAGCTAGGATTATAGGCATGAGTCCCTCCCAGCCTCAGTGGGGATTTGAGTGTTTTAACAGATCCCTGGTTCTTTTATATTGAGACAGGAAATGGGTGTCTATCATGATAGGGGTAAGTTGCATTGAGCAAAGAAGAGCTTTGTAAAGTGAGCTTTATTTAAAAAAAAAAAAATGATGAAGCTGGGTGCTGGTGGCTCATGCCTGAATCCTAGCTACTCAGGAGGCTGAGATCCAAGGATCGCGGTTCAAAGCCAGCCCAGGCAAGAATGTTCATGAGACTCTTATCTCCAATAAACCACCAGAAAACTGGAAGTGACACTGTGGCTCAAGTGGTAGAGCAGTTGCCTTGAGCTGAAGAGCTCAGGGACAGCACCCAGGCCCACAGTTCAAGCCCCACAACTGACAAAAAAAAAAAAAAAAAAGAATAAGGATATTTCCTTTTTCTGTTACTGAATACCTGACTGTCAGTGAATATCAAGGTCAGGGCCAAGCAGATGCTGGGGTCCCCGGTCACCAAGAGAATGCTGCAAACTTTGTCTAACTACAGTGTCGGAAAGCATGCCACTGGGACTGTCCTATGCCCAGCTCAAGTTCAAGCTCATGGTTTACTGAGCCCCAGGTATCAGTGAAATGGAGAAAAGAAAGAAGGTGAGAAAGTTAGTTAAATAGTTTAATCAGAGCAGTTTTACAATTCTAAAATTAACAAGCAGACCAGTAATAAAAGAGCTCCAATGTTTGCAAAATGATTTTGCTTCCATTCTGAATCTGTCTTTTTAAATTGTAAAGATTAACGTTACATTTAAAAGGACTCAAAATGGAGGGGGGAAAAGAGAGAGAGAGAAATGGAGCAATTTCGATAATCATTCATGATTCATGATGCAACTGATGAAATCCCTGAACGACTATTGCTTCAACTTTGATATCAAAGGAAAAAAAAAATACGGGAAAAAAAGAAAGAAAAAAAACCTGGGGAGGAGCTCTCCCCACTGATAGGAGGTGGCCAAAAGAAAGAGGGTCACCCAAGACCACGCTCAGGTGCACAAGGTGTCACGTGATTGGATAATGACATTGGCTCCGAGAATACAAATGAACCCACGGCACGCAATCACTAGAATGATCATGAACATTCTCTTACGTTGCTCAACCTGCTTCTGAAGGTTTCTTGGTTCGGTTAAACTTGCATAATACACATGCAATGAGTTATTTCTTTTGAAAGTGTGCGTGTGGTTGTTTGGTTTCTGTTGTTTTTGATTTTTTTTTGCAGTCGTTTTTTTTTTCTTTTTGTTGTTGTTGTTGTTGCTGTTGTTACTGTTGATTTCATACAAAGATTTCAGGAAGCTGCTTTCAGAGTGTTATCAAAATAAAGAGCAGGAGCAGATGGGGGAGGGCAGATATGAAGTCGCTGAACAGAAGAGCCTCCTTCCATCCCGACACATACCACTGCCTTTTGGAAAAAAAGGTGCAAAAGGCTTTGCTTACCTTTCCCCACCAAAGGAAAAAAAAAATAAGGGGAAAAAAAACCACTCACAAAAACCAATCTAAGTGAAAAAACAAAGGCTGACATAAAGAAAATAAAAGGTGTCTGTTCATGCACATATCTTCTGCATAGCTCAACCCACATATAGTAAGGCACTATTCTCCTTCACAGATGCTGTCTGTCCACGGCCCTCTGATGAGTGCCACAGTGCTCGGGACCCTTACACAGTTCCTTTCCAGATGGTGAAATGAAGAGGCCGGGTGAGTGTGGCTGTCACGCTGGGCTGGAAAGGTCCCTAGGGAAGACCTCAGTCCCAGGAGCCTCCCAGGTCCCTGGAGACTGTCTGGGCGTGGGACGGTCCACCGTGGTTCTCTTCCCAGAGTTCCTATGTAGTCCATGTATGGATTTAGATTCTTCTTCGGTCTTTGTTTCTCAAAGAAAATACACGAGGTGGTGGGAAAAAACAGCCAAGTCCTCAGAGATTGGCTCTGATGCTCCCAGAAAGCACAGACTACTGGCAAATAACAGAATCAGCAAGATGTTTCCAAGGGGGAGGGAGGGAAGGAAGAAGGAGGAAAGAAGGAAGGAAGGAAGAAAGGAAGGAAGGAAGGAAGGAAGGAAGGAAGGAAGGAAGGAAGGGAAAAAGAGTTCTGTTTGGAGTTTCAAAGTGGTCAAGGTAGATTTTTAATTTAGCTGGTCTTCATATTGTTTCCGGAAGCAATCTCCAGCTGGGAAAAACTCCCAACATCTCTCTTGATACATCTTCCAGACGTACGATTCCTGCAAACAGCAAAGGAAAGTTTTTCCATTACCACAAAAATAGGAGGGAAAGAGACTCAACTTTATGGTGATCATATGTAACTGTTAAGGCTAATTCAGCCAATTCCAAGCTGACATCACAGAAATCGTTGACTCCTAGTAACAAACATGTATAAACATTCTACTTGCCCATGATAGAAATAATGTCAAAAATGGGTTTGTTTCATGTGGTTTCCAGGAGTCTCTTCAAATATTATTAATATATCCTTCTTCAACTTCATACTATTAAACATTTGTGGTGAGCAAGGGAACTACTCAATAGCTTGAAAGCCTCAGCCCTGTAATATTTAGTCATGGTGAATAGACCACAATGAGTGGATGCTCATTTGAAATCATCAGCTATCTGATTAAGCAATTGAGGACATTAGAATTAGAAACGAAATGTTCTTGTAATGGGGAAAGGGGGGTGCAAACCTCCAGCCCACCATTTTCAGCTAATGAAAGCTTATTTTGAAATGTGAAATTTGAATTTTACTGATCCAAAGAAGGCAATGCCTTCCACACTCATTCAAGATAACAGGAATTTTGTGCCAAGACATCACAGCTAACATCTTTAAGTGATTCCTCTTGGCTAGTGTGGTTCACGCCATTCCAGTGAGTTTGGAATCTCTTCCTGTCATTCCCCCTGAGGATGATGTATAGAAACAGGATACTTTACCTGACCTGTGTGTTCTGTTTCATCTTTGTTTATGAGATACATCAGAAAAAACCTATGGACATAGAGAAACAGGAATAGACCACATCAAGTATTAGTATTAATAGCCAGAAACTTTTTTTTTAATATATATTGCATTCCATTGTAGGGCCAGAGAAAACACCACAAATACTTACTTTGGAAAAATAATCACAGTGCACCACAAAGAGTTAAGGGTAGCTTAGGACATAGCTGTCTGCTTTGCTCCCCTCCTTTCCTTTTCTTTCTTTCTCCCTTTCTCTCTCTTTTCTATGGGTATTGAGGCTTGAACTTAGGGCCTGGGCACTACTGTCCCTGAGCGTTTACACTGAGCCACAGCTCCATTTTTTTTCTTGCTATTTAATTGGAGTCTGATGAAGCTTTCTGCTTGGGCCAGTGTTGACTCACCATCCTCACATCTCAGTCTTTCCAGTCCTTACAATTACAGGTGTGAGCTGTGGCTTTGTGACATGGCTTTTCTAATGTGATACCCAATTTTACCCTTGAAGCATGCTAGCTGAAGGTAAGCAATGTATACAGTTTTGCCAGGACCAAATCAACACTTTCAAATTGTAAATGATGACTAGCTTCAGAAGATGCTTCAATTTACCAATCAGTTCAATTGACTGTTCCACCAATTTTACGTCCCCCTGCAATGTTATTCAACATTCCTTGTCTATTTGGTGCTAAATGTGGGTCAGAAACTAAGACTAGTATCTTACCAAACTAGAGAGGGGGTTAGCACAGGAAATGGCAAGAGTTCTCTGTTTTTTTTTTTTAAATACAACTTTTAACTAAGTTTCTAACAGTGCCTCAAGAGTTTTCTAAGTCTCAGGTGGAGTGAGAGAGAGAAAAAGGAATAAAGATTCGCGGGTCTCCAAGGATTCCTGATTGAAATAGGAGCATACACCAAGACTCCCCAAAAGGCTCTGTGGAGAAGGTTCTGGGGTCTTCTACTCCACTTCCTCCAAAAGAATTGCTCACTTCCACAGCCAGCCTCATCCAGGTGTGGAGAGGAGCACTCCCCAAAGCCTTTGAGACATGGTGCAGAGCGAGCCTCTGGGAGGAGCGTCTCTGGGAGGAGCCAGCTGGGCAAGGGGCAGGGGTTCTGAGACAGGCACTCACAGGTAATTGGCCAAGTTGTGCTCCTGTAATGTGTGGGTTTCGAAGCCATGTGGCACTGTGTCAAAGTAATCGTTGCCGATGCCGCAGATGAAGCACTTGGTCTGGAAGACAAAGGGAAAACAGCCAAGTGTCCGGGAGGCCAGGGGTCAAAACAGAGGGAGCACAGGGGCGGCCAGCCACCGGCAGCTCTCGGTCCTCTCCGGGCACACGCACACGCGCTTCTCACGCCTCTGAATACACACGTCACAGCCGCCCCGGCTGCACCTCAGCTGCACATGTTGGTTACACCGCCTGGGTGCCACCAGGAGGCCAGACCGGACGTGAGGTGCTAAGCTGCAGTGACTCCTCCTCATTTCTGTGGCCCGTCTCCCTGCGTCCTCACCTGGGCTCCCTACCTCCTCATATAACGTCCCCACAGGACAGAAAACCGGCACCAGGCAGCCCCTTGATCCATCACGATTCAGCGAGGGCGTGTCTGCTCTGTGCCAGGTATGTAATTCCCCACGGGACGTGTCCACGCCCTGCTTCCTGGCTGAGTGTTTCCCCCCTCCCGAGTGTCTCCCACACCTCTCTACAAGGCGACTGCTGTAGAGCACTTGCTCAGTTCTGCCACGGCGGGCCTGGCCTGTTCCTCAACTGAGGGGACGCAGACACTCCACCTCCCACCGGGGTCTGAGAGTCGGAATGACCATGCATCCTCTCAGATGGGGAGCCTGGCACTGCCCAGGGGACGCTCACCTCCATGTCCTCCTTGACCTGCTCCTGCTGGTCTCTCAGCTCTCCAAAAGCATCGATGATTAAACCTGGGGTTAAACAGACACAATAAAAGCTTTGTCCAACAGAGATATGTAGTTCAATTCACAGCTCCTTGGCTATTCCGTGGGAGGAAAGGGAAAACACACGATCATGATGGCAGATGTTCAAAATGTGGTAGAGTGCGAGACCACATCTGATATGCCTATCAGGAAACTCTCTCTCTCCCTCCTGTCCTTCCTTTCCTCCCTCCCTTCCTCTCTCTCTGAGCAGAAGTGCATGCATGCAGTTACTAGGATGAATACTCATTCGAACAGCAAGAGAACCTGGCAGTCAGTTTAGCCTCCATGGGTGATATATCTCTATTTGCCTCTTGCTGAGGAAGAGCCATTGAGTAAAACACCAAGGTTCTCAAGTATTAACTTGAAAATAAAGCTGTGCGCTGGTGGCTCACACTTGTAATCCTGACTACTCAGGAGGCTGAGAGCTGAGGATCGAGGTTCTTAAAGCTAGCCCAGGTAGGAGGCTATAAGATTCTTATCTGCAATTAACCACCAGAAAGCCAGAAGTGCAGCTGCGGCTTGCATGGAAAAGCACTAGCCTTTTACTGGAAAAAGACAAGCAAGAGCACGAGGCCGAGTTCAAGCTCCAGTACTGGCACAAAAAGAGAAAAGAAAAGAGAGAACAAACTAAAAGTTGTACCATATCAATTAAGTCTTCTGCATCAAACCACTTTCCTACAAGGTCCCCATAAACCATATAGTTTTATGCAGTGTGGCAACTCGAAACTACATGGAGCTGTTCGGCTTCTGCCTCCTCTGTCTCCTGGGAGGCGTCCACACACACTTCCTGCCAAGTGCTTTCTGACTTTGCTCTCTTCTGGAACAATTTACTGTTCCACTCCATACACATGAAGACGTATTTTTAAATGTGTCCTGCACCTTGCCAAAACAATAGCACCAGTGTATGCTTCTGGAACTTAAAGTATAATATTGCATTGACAGATAGCTCGTCCAAACCTGGATGGAGGTATTAAACAGAAAAAATCAACAGGGGTGGTGTATCTGCGGTGAAAGAAAGGCCACGCCGGTGAAGTGGGCCTTGCAGTTCCAAGCGAGGACTTGGAATCCAGACCAACCGGACTAGATCAGATTCACATTCCAGACAGCATTGAGCAGTTGTGAACTCTGGCCATGCTACTCAGACACGCTTCCACACTTACTCCCTATGGCTGACTGAAAGGAAGTACTCAACAATGGCTGTGGTGTAACAGTCCAAGATGTGCTAATTATGTGCTAATTATCTAATTACATACCACACACATACACACACACACACACACACACACACACACACACACACACACACACACACACACACACGTCTCCTGTATGTGATAGACCCATAAGGCTAAATGGTTTTCCTCCCCTTAAAAACTCATAAACCCATTAAGTGGTAGGGTTGGAATTCAGGCCAATAAAAGTGTTCCTGGATAAAAACAAGAGACCATTAAAAAAAAGCATCCAGTGCCATCTGTCCCAGGCCCACACGCCATCATTTCCCCCTCTACAGAGAAGGAAGGGCTTTCTGGGATCTTAGCTGGAAACACAGGACACTGGGGTCCCACCCTGGGCACTGGCGCCAACAAGTGGCTGAGCTCTAGAAGCCTGGGGACAGCGCCATGGCTCACCTTGTATGATGGCCAGGAGGATGACGATGACGAAGAAGAAGAAGGTGATGTCGAAGATGATTCTGTAGATCTCATACTCGTCACCTGCAGGGTCCTCAATCTCATCGCCAATGCCCCCTCCAGCACGGACCCCCACGTACATGTGGAACATGTAACACTGGAAAAGAGGGGCACAGCTACTCCTCACAGTCGCCCCCCACCCACCATGCAGGCCATGCTGCCCCCACAGCCCCGACCCATCCCCACGCTGAAAACGCGTGTTGCCTTTCTGTGCAAAACCTTGTCGATATAAAGGATGGTGCAGGCAGTGATGAACTTCCATGGCATAACCCTTTAATGAACAAGTTCGTTACATGAATCCCAGGAAGGGAGAGACAGGAATGTTGGGTGGACGCGGTCATAATACTAGCGAGGATGTGTGTGAAAATGCAGGTAGGGAACGTGAGGGGGAACGGCAGAGACCCTGGACACTGGTCAGGATGCATTTCTACACACATGGACATGTTGCGTTGACATGTTTCCCCCGCCTCTTGGTACAACTGTTTCAAGACTGGGCAAATGGAAGTCCTCGTGCGTGTGATGCAAGTGTGCCACCGCCTTTTAATCAAAGCCCACACTGCGCTGTCTGCTTCGTGCCCTCGGCTGCACTCCAAGAAAACGAAACATACTTCATGAGCGTCCTGGCGGGCAAGCCCCCCGTGATAATGAGGAACGATCACTTCAGAGGGTACACGCGTGTATCTCATTGTACTGTCCAGTTTATTCTGACCAAGGGAAATGGAAACAAAAGCCTGGTGCAATAAAAAGTGGCACCTGAGAAACCAAATCAGAACAAAAGGAGAGCACAGCTCTCAATAACCTTCGTCCAATCTATCATACACAGAACAGGTGCTAGAACGTTCTACTTTTTACCTCTGTAATAAACACGACAGAGAAGATAAAGGATGAGGAGACAGCAGCTCAGAGCATAAACCTCCCCCGCCCCCCGGGGGTGCAGCGGGCAGCCATGATGGCGGCCATCGCTCCATGCAGAGAAAGGAAGCCCCCCTCCCCACACACACAAAGTGCCTTTGGGGCCAGACTCTCAGCCTTGGCCACGCTGGCCTCTGGGGTTGGGGTGTTCCTTTTGAAGGGAAGGTCATCTTGTGTGTGGTGGATTTTTAGGGTTCTTTGATCTCACTCCATGGATGCTGACGGCACCCATACCAGAGCAACCATTTTTTTTACAAATAATGTCCCCCTGGGAACAGAGTGGTGCTGGTTTGAGCGCAAAGGGTGCAGAAGATCCAGTATTTATTTATTTATTTATTTATTTATTTTGTCGGTCGTGGGGCCTGAACTCTGGGCCTGGGCACTGTCCCTCAGCTCTTCAGCTCAAGGCAAGCGCTCTACCACTTGAGCTACAGCGCCACTTCCAGTTTTCTGGTAGTTTATTGGAGATAGGAGTCTCACAGTCTTTCCTGCCCAGGCTGGCTTTGAACCGTGATCCTCAGATCTCAGCCTCCTGAGTAGCTAGGATTACAGGCGTGAGCCACCAGCGCCCGGCAAGATCCAGTATTTTATTCCTAGTCAAGACAGGCCTCAATTCTCTACTTGAGCTCCCAGAAGTCAGCTCCATTCATCCCCGTGGGGGTCACCCAAGCCCTGCTCTCTAGCCGCATCCTTCACATCAATCATTCCTGGTCCTGGCTCTGCTATAACCTTCTCTAGACTCAATCTTGGCCAAAAAGTAGGACAGAGGAGAGGGGAGAGGGCTAATTTGCTGGGGCATGTGTTTCTTCTCTGGATCACCTCAAAGTCTCCCTGGGCCTCTCCTTTAGCGGCACGCCGGAGGAGACAGGGGACTGTAACCCCAGGGGGTTCACTGAGCTGCCCTGAGGTTCCACTCCTGCAGGGATGAACTTCCTGTACATGTCCAGTCCGACTCCCCAGCTACCCAGTTACCATCCTCCCTCTATCCTTCATCCACTCTGTCCTCCTGTACTCTCCGAGTGGAGAGGAGATAGGTTCAAAGTCTGTCAGGATGGCCCGGGTTAGTGAGATTCTCAGCTCAAAGCACCATCATCCAGGAAGGAATCCATGTGTGCATCACACAGCCTGTAACTCTGCAGCCACAGCGCCACCTGCTGTCAGCCATGAAGTTTCTACTGATGAAATGTTCCCCAGACCTCAAGGCCAAAGAGACAGACAGGGTTGCTAAGGAGACCAGCGCGGCGTCCACTCAACACAGCGTCCACCCAACGCAGCGGGAGTGGGAACATGCACCTCAAGAGAGCCTGCCCACATCACAGGGAGCAGGGACTTCATCCTATGAAGAGGAACGATGATGAGAGGTGGTCACACAAAGATCTCACTCAATCATTCTCTCCATTTCTGTCTCTGGTGGTACTGAGGTTTGAACTCACAATCTCATTTTTCCAGGCAGGTGCTCAACTGCTGAGCTACACACCTCCAGTCTGTTGCTGGTTATTTTACCTGGACCACATCAAGACTGTGATCTGCCTATTTTATGCCTCCTGTGATAGCTTGAATGACAGGTGTGTATGCCCTCTTGCTTGACTTCGTACTTTGAGATGAAGTTGCTGGATGTTTTTGTATGGGCTGTGCTGGAACTGTGATTGTCCCGATCTACAAACACTCATCTGACTAGAATGGCAGATGGCGCTGTGCCCAGATATAGGCTGAGGACCCAACTTGTGTGTGTGCCCAGGTTGGCCGTCTGAGTAGGCAGGATTACACATGTGAGCCACTGATCATACAGCTCAAGGATTCTCCCTAAAGACCTAGACTGGAAAAGTTTACCTGGAATTTCCTGTCATGTGCTCCTTTAAACATTTTTTTTTGTCAGTTGCAGGGCTTGAACTCTGGGCCTGGGCGCTATCCCTGAGCCTTTCTGTGCTCATCTACTATTTGACGGACAGTAGCACCATTTCTGGTATTTGAGTTGTTCATGGGAGATAAGAGTTTATGGGGACTTCTCGGCCCGGGCTGGCTTTGAACTGCAATCCTCAGATCTCAGCCTCCTGTAGCTAGGATTACAGGTGTGAGCCACTGGTGCCCAGCTAACTTGTGAGCTTTGTAAAGCAAATGATGCTCAGAGATTAGTGACAAGTCAAATGAGAGAGGGATGCAGGTGCCTCTTGGTGATGAGATAGTACACTCTGGGGTTTTTATGGATAATGATCTGGCCGTCGGCTTGTCAGGACTCTCCTGGTACCAGTCATCCTTGGGAATGAGTCATGGGCTAGACCGGTCAGTGTCTGAGAACCGAGTTTCCTCCTCTGTGAGGAAAATGTCAAGGAATGTCTTTGTGGTGAGCTCAACCTCACGCCGCTGAAGGCAGGGTGAGGGAAACTTAGCAGAGAGAGCAATGCTACCCCAGAGCTGGGCGTGCATGGTGTCACTCTAAAGGACCCTCAGAAATCTCTCAGGCTTGTGGAAAATCTGGATTCTAGCTTAACTCATTGTTCAGACTTTCAAGAGCCTATTTCCTTACCCTAGAGTGAGACAGATTTCTGTTTTCTTGGTTCACATCCCATCCATACACCAGGCAAACGTACTGTCGTCCTACCGCATTCCTTAATTCAAGTTCAAAATCAAGACTAATCACAGGACAAGAAAAAACTTGTTTTAGGCTCTTAAAAATGGAAGAAAATATACTGGGCCAGAAAAATAATTGAAATAAAAGATAACTGAGATAGAAAAAAGATATTTTAAAAAATGAAAAGCCAAGTCAGGTAACAGTGACTCCTACCTATAATCCTAGCTGCTCAGGAGGCTGGGATTCTTAGGTCTCAGGTCAAAGCCAGCTTGGGTGGGAAAATTTGTGAGATTCTTTTCGCCAAATAACCACCAAACAAAACAAAAATTTAAAAAACACTTCCCTGGTCTACAATCCCACTTCCTATAATCCTATTATAATACCATTTAGATGCCCTTTTTCCCACTAGAAAGTAATTTTCATGTCTCTCCCAGAATAGAAATGGAACTCATTTTATAAACAGTTGGCTCTTTATCTTACTGAACTGATCATTTGTCTTTTAAGACTTCATTTGGTTATTCTTTTTCAAAAAAATAATTGTTATATATTCACGGATCCTATGGTGGGTTTTTTTGCACTTAGGATTTATATCATTCATAGAAAGACTTTCTCTCATTTAAAAATTATCATTACTAAAAGGATTCCAACCTGTTCTGTTATTGAGTGAAATAACAAACTGGAGTCTAGTTTGCTCTTTCTCCCGGGAGCTTGTCCGGGACACCAGTACCTTTTTCTGCAATAAGTCCACTGTATGATTGCAAAAGTTTCTTTTGCTCTATTTCCATGAGCATCTGCACCTGTTTCAAGACTGTACTCTGTCCCATTGACTTGTCATTCTGTAGTACAAAACTGTCCTTTTTATAAGTCTTTACAATATTTGTATTTCTTTTTATCATTCTTTTATAGAGTTATTTACTTTTCTTTATATTTGTGTTGGTTCTAGGAACTGAACTTAGGATCTGGACATAGTCCTTTAGTATTTTTTTTCCACTCAAGGCTAGCACTCTACCACTTGAGCCCCAGCTCTACTTGTGGCATTTTGGTGGCTAGCTGGACTTTCCTGCCTGGGCTGGCTTCAAACCGTGACCCCTACTCTGACCTCAGCTTGCTGGATAGCTAGGAATACAGGCATGAGCCAGCAGTGCCCAACAATATGCTACTTATTTATTTAGAGAAAAATTAATCATAGCATTATACTAGCTTCACAGATTCTCCTCCAAACCCCTAATTATATAGGTTTCTTTTTCTATGACAAGTTCCTTGAAGGATTCAGCCTTTTCCAGCTCGTGGTGCATAATTTTGTCTAACCTTAAGTTTCCAACCTTAAGCTAAAATATCCATTATGAAAGCAAGTAGTAGTTCTATTAATATATTTTTGGATTTTAGTATGGATTTTAGTAACTTTAGTTAAAGTCCTTACAACAAATAAGGACTTGTGATCCTCCTACCTCTATCTACTGAGTGCTGGTACTGAAACTGTGCATCACCACATCCGACTTGCTGATACATTTTAAGAGCTTATTAATGTCCTGTTGTGCACAGGATTTTCTGTTTTGTCTGTGTGGAGAGGAAAGTGCTTTGGTTGAAGACACAGGATAATTATTTCCTTCATGACAGCGGAGGTAATAAACTTACTGTTAGCATATCATCGCATTTCATATCTGGGGTGTCTCCATCTTCACTTTTGTTGTAGAACTTCCGGAAAAAATTGAATGCCACCACAGTGTAGAGGTACACAACAACGGCTAACAAGCCCACGGTCAGAACGAGCTGGAAAGCAATGCAACATGGGACCTGGCTTAGACATACAGGAAGTGGACGGGCATATCTGTCCCCTGGGTGGGAGGGAGCATGCTAATAAGGAGACATCTGACTTATGGCCTGGAAACAAATGGGACCCAAACCTTCATTATTTTTCATCTGTTGGGGTAATTTGGGCCCAGAATGGAGGAATTTATTTATGTATTCTCTTTATTCTATCACGTGGTCAATGCACTCATTTCATGTGAAACTTTACTACTTAACTGGCTAAGAAATGCACAGTAGAGCTTCTAGAGCATAAATAAATTATGATTTCATTTCACCTCCAAACCCAATTGGTAATATCAGTAGGCAGCTTACAACATGTACTTTTCGATCTAGGATTGAAGACTGCATAGAGGACTCTTTCCTTTCCCATGAAGTGAATTTTCTGTAAATAATGTATATTCCTAAGAAAAATCCATCTCATTTTTTGTTAGGCTAATACCAGGGATGGTAAATTCTTTTCATCTTTTCCAAAGTCAGGGAACACAGCTAGTAATAATGTATGATATAAATTATTTTTAAATACTACATCGAAAAGCATTGCTTTGAAACACAAAATGACCAACCATTCCGGTGGAAAAAACACGTTTAAGACCAATGCTATTTCTCAGTGTCCAACTAAGCATCATAGTTGAAAAGGCCTTCTGTAGTTATAAATAATATTTAATTTTAAACTATGCATTTTATAGAAAGATAACTATGATACATCTGACTTGAGTACTGGGTATATTTTTTTCTAAAAGTGACCTTTCTAAAAAAATTATTTTATTGTAAAGGTGACCTTTTTTAACCAAGTTAGTAAAAATAAAAATAAATATATTTCTGGCTCTATCATGGAACATCTCTATGTTCATTAAATCTTCACAGAATCACTTTAAAATTGTCCTGAGACAATTAGCACTCTGCCACTTGAGCCGCAGCACTCCTTCTGGAATTTCAGGTCTCCTAACAGATGACTTAATTCATTCCTGCAGGTGATGTGCAAGGTTTTGCACGTTTTACCTGTGTGAACTATTAAACCCTATATATTGCCACAAATGAAATTTGATGCTTCAACAGGACAAGGAATCATCTTTTCAGAAGCTCAGAAACTGGACACAGTGCCAGATCCTTTGTGTAGAAATACACAATAGATTCAGTAACGCCACTTCTTTATATAAGCACAGAACCTGAGTCTCTGGCATGGGAAAACCTTGGGCGCTATGATGCCACGACCTGCCAGGAAGGCCATCCTCATACTAGGAACCTAAAGTCACTTGGAAGCTACATACTGAAGTCAGAACCCAATGACCCCGAGGAGGTGAGCAACATGGCAGACATAGCGCAGATCTCTAAGCAACAGAGATCTTAACATGTACTAGGCTAGGAGACTCTGGACACGAAGGCTCATGGATGCCAATAAGTGGTGACAAATGTGTTACCACCCTGTGGGCAAATGAATGAATAAGTGTGTGCTCTTACTTGAGTCTGATAACAAAGAAAGCCTGAACTCAGAAACACTGATTTCTTGAGCACATCAACTATCTGGTCCTTGAACCCTTTCCCTCCAACCTGGTATGACTTTGAAATTTTATTCATTTTTTTATTGTTGTTATTGCTCAATTTAAATACATATCCTTTAGTATATTTAAATTTACATATAGTTTACTTCACTATATGTAAATGTACATATATTTTAAATATCACATTGAGTGAAACTGAGGCATCTTATGCTTTATGACTAACACAAGAAGCTCATCAAGATGCCATGATGTTTTTTGGCTCCTCATTGTATGAAATGGAGTAAACCACGGTTCATTAGGAGCTAAATAGTACCTAACTTCCTCAGTGCTTAATAGGTGTGGTTGTAAGTCCTCTAGATCTACCTTCATTTAATTTTCACCAAAATCTAATGGAGTAATTTGTTTGGTGTGTATGTGTGCCGGTACTGGGACTTTAACTCAGGGCTTGGGTGCTGTCCCTTAATGGTTTTTCCTCAGGTCTGGCACTCTACCACTTGAGCCACACCTCCTTTCCAGCTTTCTGCTGCCTAACTAGAGATAAATGCTGCATGTACTTTTCCTACCTGGGCTGACTTCAAACTTCGATCCTCAGATCTCAGCCTCCTGAGTAGCTAGGATTACAAGGATGAGCCCCTGACACTCAGCCTTTGGTTATTTTTATGAGTAAAATAAGAGAACTGAGATCTGGAAATGTTAATATGCCTAACCAAGGTCACTCAACTAACTGGTCAAATCAAGACTAGAAATCTGGTCTCCAGGCTCCAAACAAATCCCTATGGCTTGGAAAAGAAAGGATTCTCCCCTCCAGTTTGCACAAGGAAAGAAAAGGCTCAACCTACCTGCTTGCCATTGTGAGTCACAGAGGAGAGGATGGTTCTCAGGGTCTTGAAGCCCATAGCAATGTCGAGAAGATGAGCAGCAAAAAAAAAGTTGTTGTAGTGTCCAAGAACGGACATAGTCATGTACCAGGCCAGGTAGAGGAAGGACTGTCCGGACAGAATGGGGAGAGGAGGTCAGAAAACACAGCACGGGCTGCTGTCCAGCTACTCACTTGTTTATGTCGCTTTCTTAATCCATGGCTTTAGCTGTGCATGCTCTCTTTGCTATTTTCTTTACTGAGATGGTTGTGCAAAGTTCCGAGTTATTTGTCTTCTCTCGTTTACCCTCCCATGGAGAGAACTTTACTGAATTACTTCCGGGAAGCAGGGTTTCTCAGCCTCAGCACTACTGATATTGTGGATCTGATCATTCTTTCCTGTGGAAGCTGTGCCCTGTGGCTCAGGGGCAGTTAGCAGCACCCCTAGATGCAGACAGCACCCAGCTGAGGCCACCAAAAATGCCTCCAGAGACCGCCAACCGTCTCTCCTGGTCGGGGGGTGGGGGAGGAGGAGGGCAACGCTGACCCCAGTGGAGAACCCTCCTCTGCGGTCCACCAAAGAACCAACCACCTTTCCTTCACTCCGCCCACTCCTCCCCTCCTTTCTTTTTCCTTTGATTGGTGTTCCTGGAGATCGACCAGTTCCAAGGGATGACAGAGGAGTTTTGTTTTCATTCTTGCGACCTAAGTTTAAGTCATAAGCTTGGGCATTTCCTCTTCCTTCACCCTATAGTTCCTGCCTTTGACCTTTTCCAACCTAACTTTGATCTTACTTCCCTTCCGTCTTTGCCAGTATTGGATTACACTTCCATACTACAAGTTATTCTCTTTTGCTGATATGAAATTTAACTGAATATCCTGTATTCCATCAGACAACCCTAAATATGTTTCAGATAGAACCATACTGTTGAGTGAATATAGTATGTGTGGAGAAGGGACTGGCCGAACAGAAGCCATAAAAACACTCCAGGTGGCTCACAGGCTAAAAAGGTCTTTAAAAGACGTTTGGAGCCAGGGGCTGTGGCTCACACTTGTATTCCAGCCTACTCAGGAGGCAGAGATTTGAGGAGCCTGTTGTGAAGCCAGCCTGGGCAGACACATCCATGAGACTCTTATGTTCAATGAATTAAAAAAGCTGCAAGAAGAAGTATGGGCCAAGTGACAGAGTGCCAACTTTGAGTGAAAAAGCCAAGCAAGAATGTAAGGTCCTGACTTCAAGCCCCAGGACTGGCACCAAAAAAAAAAGAAAGAGAGAGAGAAAGGAAAAAGGTAAAGAGAGGAAGAAAGAGAAAAACAAAAGAAATAGACTGAGATAGAAATGGCTTACATTGTCTGTGAAAACAACTCCCAGTTTCCACATCTGATACTTCACATCAATGGAGTTCAGCCTGGAATAACAAAGCGAAAAGAGGGGGCGGGGACGGAGAAGTAAATGCAAATTTTCTGGGAGAATTCCCACCTCTGCATCCCACGTGTTAGGCTAGAAACCTGCTCAGGAGACCAGCTCTGTGCCTGGCTCAATGGAAAAGCAGAGAGTAGCTCTGAGGGCATACGCCGCCAGTCCTCTTTCATTAGAGAATATACCTCCCTACAGAAATATATAGTTTGACATAGCAATCACCACATCCCTGAGATTATAATCGTACAGATGATCTGGAGATGTAGCTCAGTATTGCATAATGTAATATATAATAATATACATTTCATATATAATGTATGTATTATATAAATAATATGCAATATAATATATAATAATATAACAGTAACATACAATGTACTATATATGTATAATAAAATGTATATTATATATTTTTAATCAAATGAATCTCATTTATATGTGTATATATATGTATTACTTATGAATATTGTTGCATGTGAGAGAAAAGAGATGAATCTGATCTCAGAGAAACTCAATTTAACTGGTTGACACCCTTCTAGTTACAGTCTTATACCAGGGAAGTGAACTTTCCAAGTAGCCTAAGCTACACAGAAAGACTCTATCTCAGCAGCAAAGAAAGGGAAAAAAAAATCCCTTAATTCCACAGTTCCCTGTCCGCAGAGGGGCAGGAGGCATCCTGCGTAGTCTGTTGGGTCCTGCAACACTCAGAGGCTTCTCCTCCCCAGCCCCTCATCCACGGCCACCTCCCACACTCACACGGCCGACAGGGAGCTGTCTTTCTTGGGCTTCTTCTTTTCCCTGGCATCGCTGAAGTCCAATGCTGCCTTGTCCATGCCGAGCAGCTCGCTGATCCTGTCCCGGCCGTAGAACTCCCCGTACTTATCCATAACCTGTGGCGGGGGTAAAGGCACTGCACTGGCCTCAGGCCTCAATACCATCCACACACCCACGTGGGGAGCATTCCGCTCTGCAGCTAAGCCAGCACACAGACTGTGACAGAACACACCCAGGGGTGCCCTCCCTCATGCCGGGGTCTTCTGCTCATATCGGGCCTGCCACTGGGTACACATGCTCGGTTAGGTGCACTACTACATTCAAGGGAGACTCCTCTGTGACCCCCATGACCCCTCAAGTCAAAGTTCAATCTCAGAACTCAGCAGGTGCCACGGGCATGGCGGGGTCCCCATCTGCACCCCCTGCCTCCCACCCCTCGGCAGCTGGCCGCAGAAGAAAACTGTATTTTTCAGAGCAAGTCATTAAAGCTATCTGAAGGAAATAAAAATAGCCTTTTGTCAACTTAGATCACTAGATTATTTCAGAACAATTCTCACCAATTTTATTACTTTACAAAAAAAAAAAACGGCCAAAAATGCTCAGCTATGTCAGGATGGATGGATGGAGCCATGTGAGTTTACCGTGGAGCTTCAGAGTATGAATTTCTTATGTGCTGTGCTCAAAATGCTCATTCAACTGTACTGGCACTTTGAAATCACATTGTCAGGAAGATAAAGCATGCCTCAATATCTCATGCTATAACTACAGCTACATCAAATTCAAATCTGAATTGTACTTTAGGAAAAAAAAAAAACGAAAGTCTATCCTTTCCAAGAAGTATTACCTTTCTTTTAACAAATTTATCCCAGTAGTTGTTGGGAAATGACCTAAAAGATACAAAAACATAGAAGTGAAATAGTATTGTCTTTAAAAATGATAAATAATATAGTATTTGAACAACATAATTTAAATGATACATAAACATATATTGTGCCGTCATCCCGCCCAAAAGCACATTAAGTTACCATCTCACTGCAAAAGCTTCCTGCATCACAAGTATATTAAATATTATTTTTAAATTGCTTATTTATATAGAATTATACACATATAAATCACATAAAAAGGTTAGGGCTGATACTTTCATGGAGAATATAACACTTATAAATAATAGTATTTACCATTTGATTATAACATACATCAAGACATAGATTTGTCAATTGTCTTTAAAAGTATCTAGAAATCAGTCCTTGTTTTTTTCTTCAAGTTCTCAAAGAAACTTGAAGCCTACTGCTAATCCCTTACTCTGGCATCTTCAGTAAAACAGTTTACTGAAAGGAACCAACTTGATTTCGTGTTTATATTCACAGGTAGATTAGCATAATGAAAACATTTAGCCTTTAAAATACACATGAATAATGCATATATAAATCAAACCCACAGGAAAAGCTCAGAACCTACCAGAAATGACAGCTTTCAAAATAAGCAGAAATAATCACAACCATAAGAAGATATTTGACCCCTGAGTAGTATAAACTACTGAAAAATATTTTATTACCAATACTTTTTCAAGGTGCCAATTACATGCTGTGATGGATTTATACTTGTCACAGCAGGTAGCTGTTTGATTCTTGACCTCCCAAGGCTAAAGAATCATTGCATAGAAAACCGTTGAGTTCTCCGCATTATATTTTTACCTCATCTCATAGGAACGTTTGCCCAGGTTTGCATAAGGCAGCTGGATGGCTGCATCTGAAAGTTTCTAACTCGGATGCATTTCAAAGTGTGAAATTCAGTATGTCTGCCTTTAATGCTACAACAATTCCTTTAATGAATAAATGAGTATCTGGGTAAGATAGCCGGGCAGTGCCAGCTCTTTGCCTTCTGCTGTTCGCTTCTCTGAGCGCTCCTAATGGATGGTCCCATCAGCACGGTGGAAATGGCCTCCAGGGCCGTTTTGATTAAGGACCTCAGGTGACGGAGGGGGTGGGAGGGGGGGTGCAAAAATGCAGGCATCCATGAGGAGGCAATGGTGCTGAGTCTTTTGATTTTCTTGACTGAATAGATAGCTACTTTTCACTTGTGCTAAACACTAGGCAGAGCTGCAGAAGTCTGGCAAAGTGTGTTTACGAGCACGGATGTGCCTCTGCGACACCGTCACTCACTGTGTGTTGATGACCAGCCTGTCCCACTGGCCCTTGATGTCATCCTCTGAGGGCTGCTCTGTGATGTAGAGCCCGTCAAATTCCAATTTCCGGGCAACTTCCTTCTCTCGCTTGAAAATAACCAATGGGACCTGCAGAGGAAAAAGTAAACATACTACATTTAGTTTGGATTGACTGGTATCTCCTGTTCAGGGTCATTGCTTTTTGGAAAACACACACAGATAGATAGATGATAAATAGATAGATATTTACATTTCTTATTTCCTATGTACTTCCAGAAAGGTAAAAATCAAGTGAAATGAATTGACTATATTCAGGTAGAAAAAACAACAAGAACCATCTAGGCTGGGTGAAAAGAGAAGATATAATATATATAAATATATGAATATGTCTTAAACACAAGGTTCATAGATAATTGTATGAATAACACCACTCTAAATGCTAAAGAGAAAAAGAGAAGTAGGAAAGCATTTGTGTGTGTATGTGTATATATATGGATATATATATATATGAATATATATGGATATAAAAAATCCTATCAATCTTTACTAGCATTCCAAAACATATGCTACTAAAAATGCAGTTTTATTTAAGAAATGTCTTTAATGAAGTCCGTGCCCAGCATGCCCACATGCTATCTGGAGATAAATTTTATTTTTTTTCAGAGATAAATTTTAATTTATCGCCACATCACCAAAGCAGAAAAAAAAAAAAAACAATCTCGGTCAGTTTGCCAAGTTGTCTCTGGAACTTCTTTTTTGAGATTTTACACGGGCACAGACAGAAGAGACACAGCTATTTGGAAGGCACCTAAGAAAATTCACCCATGGAAGACAAGGCTCCCCATGGAGGAAAGTTCCCTGAGAACATATTTTATGATACTCTAGCCTTTGAGCCTGGGCCCTGGTTTTAAAAGTCTTCTGGACCATTCACAATGAGAGACCAAGGAAACTGAAATACAGCCATGGCAGCAGCACGGTGTCTTTCTGGGAAAGATGAACAGGTTTGCAGGAGAATCTGCCCAGCACTTGGAGGAACTTGACCTTGAACTCAATTCACCAAATTCGACTGTCCCCAGGCACAGCGTTAGGGTGAAGTGGCATAAATTGGACAGCATTCCCACCCAGGATGATGGTAGACACTAACCTAATGAGGGGACAAGCAGACAACTCCCTAGTGTTTCTCTAAGTCCTAGCAGACTGTGAGAGGCTGGCTAGGGGAGCTCACTTCTGTGGGGCCAAGTTACTGGTAAAACTGTCGATGCTGTCCCTAGGACCCTCCTGAAGGGATGTCCCAACTTCAGTGACCGAGATGTATGGTTGGGCCTACTATGTCTGCCTATGACCATAATTTCCATCCCACACCTAGCTCCAGTCTGCATCTCTCTCTCTCTCTCTCTCTCTCTCTCTTTCTCTCTCTCGCTCTCTCTCTCTCACATACACAAACACACACACACACACACATACGTGTAAGTTGGTTGGTGCCTGCACCTCTTACCTTCAAGCAGTAGTATCCAATGATGCAGAAGAAGGAGATAACGGTATGGAGGATGGCAAGGATGCGCAGCGTGGGCTCCATGTAACCGCTGCTCTCCTCTAGGACATAGTGGACCGTGATGATGTGGGGTGTGCTGCTGTCCAGGCTGATGGCCACGTGGGTATTTTCACTGGGGCTTCGAGTGGGCAGCTCCTTTCCTTCAACCACAGAAGAAGTGGAGACCTGATTCCAACCATTGAGAACACAGTCAGTTGGCTGCACAGCACGGATATAGCCTTTTGGGCAAGTACTTGGATGGAAAAACTAATGCACAAGGGAAATAGTCCTATCAGTCCAAGGCTGAGAGGATGCATTTTCAGATACCCAAAGCAACGAATATATGTCTGCTTTAAGTGTATGAAGAGGTACAAGGTACTTGGGTTTGAACTCTGCACCTAGGTGCTGTCTCTAGAGCTTTTTCATTCAAGGATGGCATTCTACCAATTGAACCAAACCACTTCTTTTGACTTTTTCTGATTAAGTAGAGATAAGAGTCTCAGACTTTCCTGAACAGGCTGGTTGTGAACTGTGATCCTCATATCTCAGCCTACTGAGTAGCCAGGGTTACAAATGTGAGCCACTGCTACCAGGCTTGTTAATACATGTACTTTTTTAAAAACAATATATATATATATATATATATATATATATATATATTATCTTTAAGTAGTTGCACAAAGGAGGTACCATTCAACAAATCAATTTGCAAGCACAATGCCTCTTGATCGGTGGCATCTCTTTCATCATTCTCCTCCATCCCTTCCAACCCAACCCCTCTCCTCAATTGTTTTAGTTTCACAGTGTATGTCAAGCGTTATGACTGCACCCCCCACCCAGCTTCCTCTCTTCATTGGTCTATTCCCCGCCCCCCCACCCCCCTTGGCCTCTCCTCTATACCCTTCAAGGGCCAGACCCAACCAGAAGTTGTAAGTTTTCTAACACCTGCAGGAAAATCCTAGATGACTTTCTTCACAAGGGCATGATACAAGTTAAGCCACATCTACATAGTAATGGATAAGACAGTCCGCTAAAACAGACAGGGAACATGGTGGTGGCCTCTCTGCCAAAGTGAATGGAGCCGAGGCCCTGGCAATTCACAGTTCAGGAGCAAACTCCTGCCTTCCTGGGTCCCAATCATGTACCCTAGACTCCCACTGCTGCCTTTTGGTCAACACTGCTTTAGAACAGGCTCTGATGTGCTCACTGGCAGAGCGAGGAAGTCTGCACATTTTTCCCATCTCTAGGTGGGACAGGCTGGCCAGGAAGATACTGAGACGTACCTACCTTATAAAACAGCAAGATGAAATTGATCGCAAATGCAACAAACAAGGCCAGCATTCTCATGTTGTAAAAGTTGCGAGCAAAATAGTTCTAAACATAGAAAAAATAATAATAAGGTTATGGGAAAGTCAGAGTCAAGAGACTTGAAACACAGATGATTGAAATGAAGCGTTCATTCAACCCTGTCTTCCAGGCTACTGCATACAGCAAGGGGGAAACGTCTGATACCACGAAGGAGACAACAAATGAAGCAACACACCAAAAATAAAGAAGACATGGCGCCAGGAAATTCTAAGTGCTGTGAAGGAAAATTGCCAGGTGGGGAAATGCAGTGGTAATATGGATGGCTAGGGAGGTGGTCTGAGAGCAGCAGCAGAGGAAATCACGCCCACACTCAAGAATGAGTCAGAGGTAGGGACTGGAGGGCAGACTTGATAGTGAGGGCTTCCTCGTGTGTCTGAAGTATGGGGTTCATGAACCCCAAGAAGAAAAGAGACGGAGAGAATAGGGTCATAGGGATCAGCATGCCAGCCGTCAGGTGTCAAAGATTTCTGATAGAGTTTGTGTCATCTTTTATAGTTCCCCGGTTCATGACCTCTGAACCCATTTATGACTTCTAGGGTCACTCTACTCAGACAAGATGCCTGCCACCACCACTTCCTAGATTTGGATATGGATAAAAGACTCACCCCTTCAGGGGGCATCCCTGCTCATCGATAATATAAAAATACCCACAGAACCTGCCTCTCAGTGTGCTCAGATGAACCAAGTTCATCTAAGCCACATTATTAACCTTCTTATCATACTCATCGGTATATGTGACCCTCCTGCATTATAATTAGTCTCTGCTAGGTGGGTGAGATGGTCTTGGAGGATGTGAAGAAGGCTGGTTGCAAGCCGATTATGATTTCCGCTGTGTGGAGGGTAGATGGTAAGGGACAGGAATGAGCGGCGGGAGACAGAAGAGAAAGGTGGTGTGGGCGGTGACTCGGCTTGAGTGGCAGCTGTAGAAATGGAAAGAGCTGAACAGATCCTGGATATAATTTAGAAGGAAGACTTGAGAGTTATTGCTGGATTATATTTTTGAGAAAGCACTAAGAGCTAATAACATCTGGGCTTAGGAGCCAGGGAAACTACATAAATGACTGGAACAATTTCTTGAGTTGGACATCACAACAAAATCACACTGAAGGCGTTGATGGAAGGAAACAGACCATGGGGAAATCAAGGATTTGCTGTGTTAGTAAGGTGGCAATATAGGTAAAGAACCCAAGCAGATAAAGCGGGGCTTTACCATCCTAAAGTTGTACAAGAGTAATAACACCTCTGAGGACCACCCCCTTCACACATGTAGACCTCATGGGACCGTTTGCTTCGCTTCATTTGGCTTCACTGCCGACACTGGTTAGGTTAGATCAAGGCTGGCCTCAACACTCACACTGGACCAAGCACGTTAGTTCTCCTTAAGGGAGAACTAGGTGACAGAGACTTGAGTTAGGGTTAACCCAGAGGGTTGGTGGTAAAGGTGTGAAGGACAGGGGATGTGTTGGCTGGCTGTAGCTGTGATTGGTCATGTGCATGCAAGTGGTAGGCAGAAACCGTCAACGAACTACAAGCCAAAGCAGGACCATAGAGGAGCTGCTCAGAGACAGGACTGGAGAAGCTGGCTGGGAAAAACCTCAACTCCCTCAATCTCTATTGCTGTAGTGAGGCCTGATCTCCAGGGTCCCGCTGGGATTTCTGTGGAGAAACACAGAACCCATCTCAGCCATCTCGACAGAGCTACACCTGCTGCTATGGCAACCATGATAGTGCACAGAGCCAACCATTACCGAGAGTTCTCATTTAAAACCACCACCACAACAAAAAATGCTGCTGTTCACTTTACTTTGGAACAATTCAGGGGAAAAAAATATAAGATTTGGAGAAAACTTCTGCAGAATGCATTAACTACATCCTAAACTACTTCCTTCTCTGTCTTCTTATTTTTTTCTTTTCCTTTTACTTGTCTCTACCTGAAAGTTACCATCAATAACCATTTTGGCTCCTTGAGTTAATTTTTTTTTTTTTTTTTTTTTACAATTGGGTCATTAAGTCAAAGAGGCTCAAGTCATGTGACATGTGGAGGAGATAAGTTTGACAATGGGAGTGACGAAGGGGCCTGTATTTCTCCCCGAGAAAGAAGTTAGTTATCACTTCCCGAGCCTGAACGGCTATGTTCTCACAGCTAGTCGGTAGCAACACTCGTTTAGAAAGCCTCTTACGAGCAGTTTCTGTTGGTACGCTATGATCTTCTTCCAGAAGGCCGACTCCGGGACCTCTGGCTCTCCATATCTGTGCGTGTGAAGCTGTCTCAGCTTCTGCTTGCCTTTGTCCTCCTTGGCTTTTTCTTCTTTCTCTCCATCTTCCCCTCTGTGGAAATGAAAGGAGGAAGCAGGGCTGTGCAAAATGATCAAAGTGAACAAGTATTTCAGAGGCTGTCATTTGTGAGGACTCATTTCTCTCTCACTGAATAATTTTGGTTAGCAATGGTAGGATTTATCACCATGCCTCATAGATGGGTAATTCTATGGGGTTCAAATCTACAGGACATTACAAGCTTGCGGAACATTTCTACTCAGATGTAAGAAAATTCTCCCTCAATTGTCCCATAAAAGTATTTGATTTAAAATGCCATAACAATGAAGAAATTTGGCTTTTACTAACACATTTAAATTATGACTTTTAATGTTCATTTTATTCCACTGCCTACCTATCAAGATTTAAAATCAAAGGCCTGTGCTCTTGTTTTTCTCATGTACAAAGTGTGTCAAAGTGCTACTACACTGCATATTTACTTAATTGCATTAACTAACACTTATTCATTTTAATATCATTGTTGATTATATTGTTATATTAAGTCCAGGTAATGACAGAACTAGAAGGATTGGAGTTTTATACTAAAGTTCCTTTGGCTCAGAATATCAATGTTTCCTGAAAATGAGATCATATAACCATAATCCACTCCCACAGATAAAACCCCATAATGAAGTATATCTAATATTAGACAAAGAGCTGCCACTGAAGTGCCTGTTGTACTCTGCTCCATTCGTCTATTTTCATGTGGACAGGTCTCCAACTGATCAAACTACATGAGACCTGGGACAAGACATAGTGCTGACCATCAAGAATATACAATGAACACAGGCCCAGGAAAAGTGTCATCCTCTGCCCAGCATAGGGGTTTCCAAGGAAATGAGGATCATAGGGCTGTCAGAGGTTTATAGGATGGGGTGCAAGAATCTGGCTGGTTGGATTTTCAAACAGTGTCTCTGACATAGTCCAGGCTGGCTTTCAGCTCGTGATTTTCCTGCCTCTCTCCCAAAGGCTGGGATCACAGGTATACGTCCACCTTGCCGGGCTGTGAGCCTGTTTTATAACTAATTCCTCAGGTGGTTTTTGGCATACACGGCCTTGGGCTACCCCTGAATGAATGCCATTCTGCAGATATGTGTGTGCGTGTGTGCATGGTGTGTGTGTGTGTATGCACGCGCTCGCGCATTCGCACACCTGTGCTAAGGTTTGAACTCAGGGTCTTGACACTGTCCCTGAAATTCTTTTGTTCAACACTAGCACCCTACTACTTAAGCTACTTCTGGCTTTTTGGTGATTAACTGAAGAGTCTCACAAACTTTCCTGCCCTGGCTGGCTTTAAACCACAATCCTCAGATCTCAGCCTCCTGAGTAGCTAGAATTACAAGTGTGAGCCACCAGTGCCCAGTCGAGACTTGTGGCTTTTAAGTCTCTTACGGACACAAAATGATGGACATCTTCCCTACCCAGGAGGGTACAATAGGTGCTGGACTGGACTGAGGTCCTAGCCTGTGCTGAGATGGCAAATGTGGCCACGGAACTCCTTCTGGGTAAGATTCTCTGTTCCAACTCCAGAAGAGGTGGGGGAGGAGGAGAGAGAGGGATCCTCTCTGAAACACAGGGATGTACACAAAAACGATACATACTCAGCCTTTTCAGGTTCTGATTTAATTTCCTCTTTTTCTTCCTTTTCTTCTTTTGCCTTCTGTTCCTTGAATAGGTTAGTGGGGAAAAAGAAGAGCAGGGTGACACACTGTCTCCAAACATGAGCAAGTGAGCACGCACCAGACCAAAGCCACAAGCATAGCTGTTACTTATGTTGTGAGAACACTAATGCACTGTTCACTCTTGAGGTCCACATGCTGCCCTAATCTACATCAACCCCTGCACAGGCAGGACATACACATGCGTGAAATCCTGGGGTCCCTTCCCACGTCAGTCCTCATTTCAGAGGTGCTTTTCTGTGCTTTACCACCCCACTCAAATCTCATTCATCCTTCAAGGTCCGGGTAACTCCCCTCATCTTTCCTCTTCTTCTGCTAACCATACTATTAACCATGTATTTGCTCTTTTGAAAAAACAAACAACTCTTACTCTCCATTTGACACTATAATAATTTTCTACACATTTTTATGCACGTAAGCCCTATCTGTCTATCTTTCTATATAGGGGTGATTGCTTAATGGACTAGTGTTATTGAAAGGGACTTAAGTTTATACCCTGGTAACTTAAGGTAATCTAATCATTTTCAAAGGGTTTGTCTACCATTAAAAAATTGCTTCTTTTTGCAAATTCAAAGTCTTACTTTTAATCCCACTGCCAACATCCCCAAATCTAATTTAATACTTATTTATTATACCTACCTGAAATTGAGAGAGGGGAGAGAGGAAAGAGAGAAGAGAGAGGGAAGGGGAGAGTGAGGAGAGGGAGGAGAGAGGAAGAGGAGGAGGGGGGAGGAGGAGGGAGGAGAAGGAAAAGGAGGAGGGGAGGAGGAGGAGGAGCAGAGAGAGAAGGAGGAAGAGGAGGAGGAGAGGGAGGAGAAGGAAGAGGGGAGAAGAGGAGGAAGAGGAAGAGAGGAAGGAAGAAGAGGAAGAGAGGGAGGAGGAAGAAGAGGAAGAGAGGAAGGAGGAGGAGGGGGAGGAGGAGGGGGAGGAGAAGGAGAAGAGAAGGAGGAGGAGAGAGAGTGAGAGGAGGAGGAGGAGGAGAGAAGAGGAGGAGGAGTGAGAGGAGGAGAAAGAGAAGGAGCAGGAGGAGGGGGAGAAGGAGGGGGAAGAAGAGAGGAAGGAGAGTGTGTGCTGGTGTGAGAAATTACCTGAAGCTTTTCCTGCATGTCGGGGACGGGGGTGGGATTGGCCATGAGGTCGCCGAGACCCGCGTTGGGGTTGTGGGGGATGAGCTTGTACTGCCCTCCTTCCCGCTTCAGGTCTAAGCCGAAGATGTCGGAGAGGAGATCGCTCTCCTCCGTCAGCTCCTTCAGGTCCATGAGGTCTTCAGAGGGTAGCGCGGTCTCCGGGGGCCGCCTCTCCCCATCCTCCGTGTCCCCCCGCACCTCATCCTGCGTGGGGTCAGGCATGTTGGCCAGGAGCTCTGCCACCTTGATCTTCTTGGCCCCCTCGACCAGGCTGCCCCCCAGCAGCAGGCTGCACACGATGCGGAAGAAGCCCCTGCAGACGCTGGCCACGAAGTGCAGGAGCGTGAGGAAGACACCCCAGTAGGAGGAGAAGAAGGCCGCCAACATGTCCCCCAGTGTCATCTTCTTGGCTTTCTTCACCTGCTTCTTCAGGCTCTTCAGGCTGAGCATGCGCATCAGGGTCAGCACGTTGTACCTGAGCGCCAGCAGGGCGGACCTGAGGGTCAAGAGGGAGAAGAAGCTCATCCTGGGGCCCTCGTCCTCCGGCCTCTCCTTGTCACCCTCCTCTTTACTGGCCGATCGCTCGTTCAAATCCGACTCGGAGATCTGGGCCGCCAGCTGCATCTCGAAGATGGTGTCCTCGCAGAAATTCACGAAGAGCTCCATCTTCTCCTTCTCCCCGCCCTCATTGACCACGTCGAAGATGAACTGCCTCTTGGACTCCTTCACCTGGGGCTTCTCCCACTGGGTGCGGCTGGACTCGCTGATCTCGAAGTATACCCGCTCAATGCGCTTGGCACTGCCCATGATCTCGATGCGGCCCAGGAAGGGCTGGAAGTAGTTGAGCACGCTTTCGGCCAGCTCCAGGAACGTCTGCAGCCTCGAGTCATTGGGCATGTGCTCGGAAAGGTTGGTCAAGAGCACGGCGACGTTGAAGCCAATGTCCTTGGCCGGCTCGTGAAACCGCTTGACAAACTCCTCGTAGTCCAGGGTCTCGTTCTCGTCGGTCTCCGCACACGACAAGAGGAACTCGGTTTCGGACTGCGTGTAGTGCTTGTGGCTCTCCATAGCTTTGTGGAAATCCCTTTTGGAAATGACACCTTTGCCGTCCGGGTCGTACTCTTTAAATGTGTCTGAAGAGGTCAAGTCTTTTAGTTTTAAGAACATGTCAAAAAACTTCAGGATCATCTCCACGTTGTTGGAAGATTCCACGAGCATATCGACCATCTGCTTGCCAATCGTCCCATTGACAACGTTACCTGGTGGGAAAGCAATCATATCGGTTCAAAACAATCATTGCTGACAAACCAGTGATCTGTGGGCACAAGAACAACTGAGATCTTCCATAAAAGCCAAATCAAGATATCTCGTATTGATCTTCTAATGGATGAAGTCTCTCAGGGAAAGACAGATCATTATTCCTAAACTCCATTTTTAAAAAGTGATCACGTGACAGCTGGATGCAGTTGTTCATGCCTGTAACCCCAGGGAGGGAGGCAGAAAATGATAAGACTACAGTTCAAAGCCAACCTAGATGGAAAAGTTTCTCAGCTCCCAGCCAGGTGCCAGGACTCACGCCGAAATACGTAGGAGGTATCACAGTCCGAGGACAGTATGGGCAGAAAAATCCACAAATCCTGTCATCCCTGCTATGGCTGGAATCCTAAAATAAGTGAATTACCATGCAGGCACATGCCCACGCAGGGAGTGACATCCTGCCTCACAAATAGGACACTAGGCTAGAAAAATGGCTCCCTGGGAAAGCACCTGCCCAGCAAGTGTGAGGCTCTGAGCTAAAAACATCAGCAACAAATATGAAAAAGGTGATTACATGAACAATACATATAACCGTATTTACAAAATAATACAAGAGACATGCATAAAACATTTGAAACAAAATCTGTTTTCCTCTCAAATCAAGGAAATGTGTTTTAGATCCAGAATGCAGGACAAACTGTCAAGACTGAAATTGTGGGCCCTATTAATGATGCAAACAAACATTTGCACCATTCTTTAGGGCTGAAAAACCTCTGGCAAAGCTAAAAATCTGGTTTTATGCTCTAATTAGCTACAAGGAAGGTACTCAGCAATCAATTTGAATTTTTTAAAGTATTTTCAGGATCTTTTAAGTAGCTGTACAAAGGAGTTATCATCCAACAAAGCAGCTCATGAACACAGTGCGCCTCCATCAGTGTCACCCTAACTTCATGAACAAGGTGACTCGGGTTCAAAAAGGTCCAATACATGTATCTTTTGTGACGTGATACTGAGGGTGGAGAAGGGGTTAGCTCTAGACTCCAGACCATCTAGATCTTCGGAGAGCAAATTACCAGCTTGCACTGACTTACAATGGAAATCACCTTCTCTCAGGACACAGAGATGTGAAAGCTAAATGGAGCAGGCTACCAAGAGCTTGAGTAAACTGGACAGCTTCTGAAATGACAGAATCACAGACTGCTTCATTCCTGGGACAGAAGATGCTATGGAACCCAAGACAGATCTTAGCAAACTGGGCTGGGCAGGAGGGCTGTAGCCTGAGATGTACTGAATACCACGGATAAACAGGGGAAGAGCTAGACCTCTCTCCCACATTGAGCTCACGTGGCCAAGCAATGGGGATGGGGAGGATTTCTTAGCCTTGGAGCCTTAGTTTCCTCCTATGTAAAACAGAAGTCTGTCTCAGGTGACCAAAGTGGGATTAGGCAACCCATGGCCAGAGGAAAGGGAGAGAAACAAGAGATGACGTAATTGCAAATGTATCTGAGTTGCCCTGGTTGGATTTACGTGGTTTCCCTGCATTTCGTCCACCGTGGCTCTATGGAGGAAAGGAAAAATGGAGAAATGGCTTGTCTAAGCAGGGGTGGGAGCGGGAGCTGTGGGGGTGGAGTGGAGGGAAAAGAGCCAGGCTGAAGCCCCTGCTGCCTTACCTCACCCTCGTCCTCAGTCTAGACCACACGGGGCAACTGTGGTCATCTCAAAGAAACTATTCACACAGTCAGAGTTTACCCAGAGTTTGACCTCCCAACCCATTACCGAGGCACAGACACTAATGCACTGTTCCGAAGACACTGTGTATCCTCTATGGGGAGTGCTCTGACATGAAGGCTGTGGTTGAAGCTGCTTCCAGCATGCAGTTACACGGACTGACATATGTCGCCTTTTCTTTCACAAAAAGCACAGACTTGATAACAAGAAAAATTCCAGCAATAAAACAAAACGAATCAGAGCTACTACCAGTCTCATCTTAGCATCACTGGATTTTGATGTTGTTGTTGTTGTTGTTGGTTAGGCTGCTGGCTGCTGGCCCAGGCAAACACATACTGAGCCCCCAAATAAAGACATAAAGGGGAGCTGAGGGCGTCAGGAAAAGCTACCTTCTAACATGGACAGCAACATGACCACCATGTCCTTCTGGAGATCCATTAATTCCTTCAACAGCTCGATTTGGCTGGAATCCTGAAAAGAGACACAGATGGCATGTGAGGCAGGAGAAGAAATCATACAAAGGAAGAACACCAGGCCTGTTCCCACAGAGGACATACTGCCGGCCATTCCCAGGTACCTTGAAGCATCGTGCAGTTAAATTATTTTAAAAATTGATATGAGATTGGGATCTGAGGATTAAGGTTCAAAGCCAGCCTGGGCAAGCAGGTCCATGAGACTCTTATCTCCAATTAACCACCAGAAAACCAGATGTAGAGCTATGGCTCAAAGTGGTAGAGTGCTCACCTTGAGCAAAAGAGCTCAGGGTCAGCACTCAGGCCCCAAGTACAAGCCTCATGACTGGAAAAAAATAGGTATATCTTGAATTAAATTAAAGGGTATTTACTATTCATTTTCATGACTGTTCATAAATGTTCTGTAAGAATTTCAGCTGTGTCTGCATACTGTGGAGCAAATTGGACTTCCACAATTTATCCTTTTTATTTTTACTTGAAAAGACTTCATTTTTTTTATTCTATGTCTTACATAAAATTTTGTTGTGTATTGTGTAAAAATTAACTTATTTTTTAAAAATCCAAATACATCCAGGACATATACAACATAAATTTGTCATACATAAGCCTACCCTAAAATATGCACACAGAATACCTGTGCATGATGTATCTTATTACCTAATTTCATTAAGCGTTCTCTGTTTAATCTTTCCTAGGATTTTTGTTAAGTTTTGCTTTTGATCTTTTGACTCTGAAAAATAAATGTTTTGTCTAGACCTGTTGTAGATAGAAGTCACTATGTTTTGACCAAGTGGGAAAATATAAACTATACTTAATAACATATCCACATTGCATATTATCTGATTTCATTTAAATTTCCCTTGAAGTTTTCTTTTTAAAAACTGGGATTTTGCTATCTATGAAACCAAATCTCCTCAGTGCTAGTGAAGACTTTTCCCTAATGACTATTATTACCCCAACTACACTTACAAACCATGAACAATTGCTAGCAGATATAACACCAGAATAAAACAGTAACACTGTGTAAGATGGAAATTCTCTTGTGAGCATAGATATCTGTGTCCATTCCTTTTGCTTTGGAGAATGTCATTAGTAAACAGATGGAAGGATATGGAGGGTTTTCTTTTTCTATTTGGTTGACAGCGGATACTGACCATCTCTCACTGCCCCAACCCTTGCCTGGCTCCTCTGAGCGATCCTGCTGACCAGTTCTCAGCCTTGGGGTACAAAAATGGGAATAAGCTCTAATGTGCCAGTTACAGCGGCTCCAGGCTGGATTCCTGGGAGAGTCCATGAAGAGTACCCGCCAATGACCAGGCAAAGCTACCCTAGAACTCAGTGTCCAGACAACACCCAGAGACAGACCCTGGTCCCCATGTCTCCAGGGAAGACAGACTCCTCCCCCTGACAACTGCCAGCTAACAGGCACACAGCTAGCCAGGCCCTCCCTAACACCCCCTGCTCTGCTGTAACTCTTCCCTTCCCGAGTCCCCGCAGCTTCCTCTCCTGCCTGCTTCTTCTTTCTCCCACTCAAACACCAATCCGCCCGGGTGCATGCTGAATCTGTGTCTGTGTACCCAGGACCCTTGCTCTGACCACACTGACTGAATCACATCTGTGTTGCACGCATGAGCATCCGCCATGCTCACCGTTGACAGCACACCTGCACGGAGGAGGATGGTGAGCAGGTGTCCCCTCCCTTCCTCCCAACCACACAAGACCTCAGGGAAGAAGGGACTGGCCCACCCTCATGGGACGGGAAGGGGGAGGCAGGGGTGTGAAACTTTGAGAAACACAAGAACAGGGTTCTGACTCTAAATGCAGCCATCTTTCTTCCACATGACCAACCAGGACAGATCCAGGTCTCTGTGTACATTACTGAGCTGTACTGAACATCTATATCAAGATCTTTTCTCTGGGTGCACTTTATTTCCCACCACTGCCCTCCCCCACCCCCGCTTCACATGGGAGAGAGTCAGGAGAGGGTAAATAAGCTATTTCAATAGGAATCCCTCAATTTATATGAAAACAAAGCAGAAAGACTGCTGCTTTTCTATTTGCTCATCCTAACCACTCTTCATTTTTTCTTCGACTTGCAAGGAGTGAAGTGGAGGCATGCCACCTTTGCTTGCTTGTGGCTACTTCGAAAGAGATTCGTAGCACATGCCAACCTTTTGTCAATCTCCCTTAAAAAGCCCTCTGTAACCTTTGCCAACACTTTTCTAGTAGTTATAAAAGGAGGAAAAACCCCACTGAGCAAATAGCAGGATGCACATTTATGAGGACAGAAATGTACCATGTTGGGCATTTCCCCAGTGTTATTTCTGCATTACACTCACTACATCCTTGGTGCTCACATTTGAACAAGGGTTCTCAGCCATCGACTCTGGCCACTGTTTTACTTAAGATTTTCTGATGTTGGGTAAATGAAGCATGAAGAGAGGATCAGAGACAGATAATGCCCAAGCCCCAGCCAGGCATGCTCGTGTCCTTTGGTGACCGTCAGGTGACAGTGCCCAGCAAGCCCCCTCCTTTACCTGCGACAGCTTCATCTGCATGTGGGCAAAGACGTGGAGGAAGCCCACCACTGCGTCCCACAGCCTGCTGTGTGCCAGGCTCTGCTGGTTGCCCGTGCAAGGCCCCTGCAGCACAAACACAGACAGCAATCATTCCTGGCCATCAGATGCCCATGTCGACTGCAAAAACAGGAGGTTACCTGAATAGTTAGGGACCCACAAATGAAGAGAGAGAGAGAGAGAGAATCTAAGAGAGAAAAATGAAAGATGCCTCTAAGTGATGGCTTCTTCTTTGAAACATTTAGTAAGTCCTCATAAATACTTTTGGCTTTGTAAGAAAAGTAAAATACTAGCTAACAATTTAATTTTTCTTTCTGGCCTCAACCTCTCTAGAAGGAATGGGTAAGAGTGAGGAACTGGTCATCTGTCATGCTTCTCCGTTAAATCAATCAGTCATCACCCCATGGTGTAAAAAGAGCAGGAGGCTCTGCTTCTGACAAAAGGTCTTTCTTATTCCTAAATAGTAACCTGGATAAGACAAGGATGTAGAGAACTAGCCTCTTCAACCCTTTCTTAATTGTACAGCTGCTTCACCATGTGACACCCTTGAGATTTCTTTTTAAGGTGAGTATTTAGTCATTACTGAAATGAACGTTTCAGGAATACTGTGTAGGACTGTGCCTGGTCCGCAGAGGCAGGAAGAGGGGCTGGGATGCACTGAGCAAGGCAAACCATGGGACTCAACCCAACAACCCTGGGACCCCTGAGAAACAGGTTCCAAGGCACCCCTAAGGCATCTGCTCCATGGATGCTTCTAGCTCTAGAGAAATTCAGGAATTTTGCTCATTTTACATCCCAAGAGATACACATTTCTGGCTAAAAAAAAGATTTATGTTTCACTTGCAATACAGAAACTCGTGATATATATATATACATATATATATATATGTATATATATATACATATATATGTATATATACATATTGATATATACATATTGATATATATATATATGCATATATATATATATATATATATATATATCAATAACTATTTCTACAAGATTCCCCAGCTCGCTATTGTCATCGGCCAAGCTGATTTAATCAGGGAAGTGACCACGAATGCTTATATATGGCTATCTTTCTAGATTTCCAAAGGACTAGTAAGGCAATCCAGGAAGATAAGGAACGGGAGTGAAAAGACAGAAACCAACTCACTTGAGTAGTTGTTAGGATGAACATGTATGCCTTTCCCATTTGGAAGAGCTGAAGTAATGACTCTTTTCTAGCTAGCAAACCAACAGTGAGATTCTTTCAAGACACGGAACACAGCCCAGAGGAGAGAACAAGGCTGGGGAGGAGACTGACACCCTTCTCCTCTTTCTCTGTCCCTCCTTCATGCCACTGAATGCTTATCACCTATGCCAGAACCTGGAGATGAAATGCAGCCCTCACTACAGTCCGTTGTGGGGGGGTCAATTTTATCTCAGTATGCAAAGTGGCAGCCATCTCACTCCAAATATACGCACATGTTAAACTAGTCTTTTATTTGTGGACATTGGTGAAAGGGGTCAATGGTTGCTGAGGAAAATACTTTAGGCATATTTAGGCAATTTTCTCTGAATTCAGTGCTAGCCCGCCAATACTTTTTTTCACTTTCCTTTCTTCAAACAGCAGAAATGTTCTAGTGCTTACCTGAATATACTCTGTGAGAGTGTTAAAGACTTGTTTTGCTACTTGAATGGCTTTGGAGAAGTTCCGTTGTCCCTGCTCATCAATGACATCTTTCCCAGAGTAATACCAATAGAAATCACTAATGGATTCCTAGAGAACAGAGGTCAGATCGTTAAAGCATCATGAAGTGATCAGCGGCCTGTCCCAGCATGAAATCCATCATGACAGATAGATAGATAGATAGATAGATAGATAGATAGATAGATAGATAGATAGATAGATAGATAGATATAGATTGATTCCAAATAAAACATACAGCAGCAAGAACAATATCAATGAAATAAACATCATTCTTTAGTGATATCCCTAAACATAAAGCAGAGAAACAACCTCTCCAGATTAAACAAACAAACAACTCGAGTGAAGGCAAGAAGCAGAAAATGTAGCTTTAGAAATCTTCCCTGTGTGTGATGACCTGGAACTTCACCAAACATAAGGATTCATGAAGACAAATGCTATTCATCCACGGAGTGACCTGCTCTGCTGCAGTTTTAAGATCTGATTGTTAAAATCACAAATACATTTCCAGCAACATTGCTTGATACTTTTGCTTCAAACTGATGCCCCCTACCTCCCCCAGCCAGGAAAGTTTAAGTTAAAAAAAAAAGGAGGTGGGGGTAATGTTGTTACATCCTCACAGATTAAGAGAAGGCTGAACGTTATAATTTGTGGTGTTAAAAGTACTGCACAAGGTTACTATGGAAACAGAAATGAGGGAAATACAAGTCACACAGGACTGCCATTGCATAAGAACCTTCAGATCCAGTTTGGCCCACATGTTCAATGGAATTACGATATCAAAGATAATATTTTTAAGGAGTGGGGTGTTAGGGTGATTTTTAACATCAGTGTACAAGTTAGAAGAGTTGAAGGGAATTAAATTTAGCCAAAACTAAGTGTGTGGTAACAGAAAAGCTTTCATTTCTGTAAGAACAGATAGAAAAGTACTTCACAAAATGGACATGAATTTAAAGTATCAGCGAGTTAAAAATCAAGAGGGGGGCATCACTCTTCATAGAAAGAAAACAATGGCAAAGGAAGTGGATCTGAGCAGCTATAGCAGTGAGCTTTGTTATAAAAATTGCAGAAAGATGGCGATCAAAGACACAATATGACCCCAAGTTCCATCTAGTCACAAGCCCAAACACAATGAAACATGAAACAAGCCTGCTTAATCCCCAGCTATGCTGTGTCCAATAACCCCAACCCTCTCCCAGCGCCCAGGTGCAAGGCTATGTACCTGAACCCTTAAGAGATAGTCCACGGTAGAGATAATGATGTTGACCGTCATATTGTTGCCAGTCTGTGTTCTCAGATAATTTTGAAAATCTGCATGAGATCAAGAAAAGCGTTACTGAAGCTCACTGAAGAGTTCAAGAGCAGTTCAGTCATTCTCCTGACTTGGGAAGTGATCCTGGTGGTGGTAGGTAGCATCTCATCTAACAGTGCTAACATGAAATAATCTACACGTTCCCTAAAAATCAAATGACCAGCTCATCCCCTCCCTGAAACACATCTTAGTTGCTTCATAGAATAGCAATGCTCAATTGTGGGTGAAGGTGTTAACAACTGTTTTATTAGGAATGAAATTATTTATTCGGTAATCATGTGTTCCTTAGTACCGTTTAACATGCAGAGAACACAAAAACTCAGACCTGAGTCCTGAACTACAGGCTGGCAAAGACAGATGGGTTCAAGGCCAACAGAAATACATGAGGCTAAGTAACACAACAAAATGTGCTCTCCAGGTAAAGAAAAGCACTATGAAAGTAAACAGCTGTGTTACTCTAAAGCTACCTAACTAATTCACATCGTGTTTATTATCTTCAACTTGCACACATGTGTTCTTTCATTGTGATATTCCATACATGCACAGGATGTACTTGGAACAAATTCATCGTCTTTTATTTCTGTATCCACCGCTCTCTCTACCCTCACAATTGAGAAGAAGCAAGTGGAGACAGCGATGCCAGGACTAGTAGCAGCAAAGCTTTATATAAACCCCGGCACAGAGCCTGTCTCGTCTGGGAGAATGCACAGGCCTGACTCAAGAGATAGAGCATCCTGGTTGGGACCATTGGGCTCCTGCCTCAGCCCTGTCCGTCAGCCGGGGCTCTCACACACCTGAGTTGTGTCCCTCACAGAGCAGCTGCAGGAAGCGGAAGAGATCACAGGTGAACTCGTCATCCTGCAGCACCTTCTCTCCTGTGGGAAGTGCAGAGGGATGAAGGTGGCCACCAGCAGGCAGCCCTCCCGGGGGTCCCCACCCCAGCACCCCATGTGCACACAGCACTGTTCCCAGGCCAGAATAGTCGCACTCTATCTGAAGCTCCAGAGATCATGCACTTGGCAGATAGGCGGACTTTTTCTTTGTAAGCAAAGAACACCAGGATCTTGAAGCTTCACATTTCTCTCTGTTAGGAGTAGCAGCATGGGTTCGGTAACATTTCACACACACAACCTGAAGGTTGAAATGGGGCTTTCTGTTGCCTCCTTGTTTGGGGAAAGACAGTCCATACCGAAATGATCTTTGCATCTCTCGTGTTAAACCATCTTTGATATCAGGGTGGGATCAAGTGCTTTGATTCAAAGTTGGTGTTGTCGTTGCTTGTTTTTTATGTACCCACACACAGTATGGGGAGCTTTTGTTTTCATTGAAAAATAACTAAAGGATATTCATAAAAACTGTTACTTGCTAAAAATGCTTGTGAAGACTTCAGAAGTGTGTGTGTGGGGGTGGGGGGGAATGGACTTTTCCAGAAGAAGGGGCCTGGCAGAAAAAGATTTCATTTTTAAATATCAAACCCATAAGAAAGACTGTAAAAGCTGAGCCTCTTGGGGTCATGTAGAGACCCATCCTGTAGCATGAAAACTAGGAATCTTTATCAAGCAATGTGAAGACCTAGACGGGGGCTTAGTTGATCAGGATTTATTTTGACAAGGATAGACACAGGAAAGAAACAAACAGAAAACAGTACCACACAAATGAAAGCCGATTTTTAAAACAAAGACTTCATGAAAAATAATTTAAGTTATGAGTGTCTACTTGGGAATCTAGACTTGTTTAAAAAGCAAATGAAATTCATGATGTTGTTCAGCCAGTGAATGGATATACTTATGTATTTACAAATTTTTTTTAAAAAAAGGATAATGACTTTTCACCGACTGGAAATAGTTTGGGCTAAGAAAGAAAATGGTGTTTAATTAGAATGTTTAATTAGAATGTGTTTAATTAGAATGGTAAATGACTGTAATGACAGAAAGCCGATGGACTTACCAGTCTGCAGCCTGTGACTTTCAAAGTGAGAGGCTTCGTGTAATGGAAGCAAAATCATTTTGATAACTAAGATAAACATGTTTACAACGTATCTAAAGTCACTGTGCTCCTTTTCCTGGGTTAGACCACAAGATATGGTATCTGGTGACCATGCTGAAAATCAACCACGTCCAAAGTCTGAGGTGGACAATGAGATGCCTGGTATGTCCATTCCTCAGGCAGATGGGGAGCCTGCTACACTGATCCATTCATTGATGATTCTATCATTTTCCTGAGCCATTTAAACTAGAAGGCTCAAGAGTTACATCAAAATATCACATTAATTACATGACTTATTGGTTCTTGGGGAGACTATCAAATCTTTCTATGCAGAAAACAGAATCAATAAACTACATCTAAAAACTATTTTTTAAAACTCTCTATATGATCAATAAAATATCAAGGTCAATATATTCAATGTGAAATAAGCTACTCTGTGGAAAGTACTCAGCACAATTAGCACTGAAGTAAGTGTCATATAATCTCCCTGTATGTCTCAAAATTCTCAGCGTGGTTCATAATGGTTTATTACAGGAGGGACTATTGGTCCTCAGCATGTACCATATTTTCTCGATTGTACATTGAAACACATATAAGCAACTTCACTTCTGTAAGAATGCAGAGGGATGTGGGGGAGAGAAGGAGGGGAGTGCTGGAGCAAGTGTTCATTGATAAACCCAGCGCTATTGCTCAGTGACCGTATTGGTACCAGATTAAAATGCTGCCATTGCCCATGCTGCACGAAGTGGCCCAGGAACATGGATGGAGGATGGCTTTATGTCTGCAGATGGTGCAGGATCAGCAGTCTGCTCTGTGATGGATGCAAAAGAAATCCCACTGGAAGATGGAAACCAAGATCGGTGACATATAAGGAAATGGGCTACGCAGAGCTGAAAGTCCTCTTACATTCTGAGCATATCATTTGCGATAGGTGGAGGAGAGCCGTGTAGACATGCGGAGGGCATGCACGTGTCATCTTTTTTATAAGGGCCTTGATTAAGATGTCTCGTAGTCATAAAGGGAGAGATTTGTTTCACTACTGTTCTGCTCAAGGTGAGTTCTGTTTGTTGCACCTTAGTTTACTCACCTAGAAAAAAGTATGTGTCCACTGTCTCTACATAACTTGTTAATTTTTATAAATTTTATATAGGCTAATACATTAGGAGCAGTGCAATTATACTAGACAAAGGCAGCAAAGCACTGCTGATAAATATTATTTTTATTTGCTTTATATCTTCTAAAGCCTCCTCAATTTTTGTAGTTCCCAAACAGTCTTGGAATAATAGATTTTTACTTGAAAATAATAATAAAATAATAAACATGAAACAGTGAGTCTTACATTAGAGATCTAATAACGTTAACACGCTGGCTCATCTAATTAACATGAAAGTATTCAAGTATTTCCTTAGATGCAATAAAATAATTAAGTGTGTGCATGTCCTTACATGTCTGTATGTGCACATGTCCGTACATGTATGCACATGGGTACACATGTGTATGTGTATGTCTGTGCATGTCTGCATTTCTGTGTATGTCTGTGCAAATGCTATATGTGCATGCAGAGATTACTTACAAGGCCCCTGAACACAGCTTTTATCTCTTTGAGATAATTAATACTAATGAATAATGAATTGCCCATACTTATTTATCTTCATAAACTGAAACAACATAAGTAAAAGTACTACCTACTATGTGCATAAAAAAAAATCAGAGTAGGGTAGACTCCAAATGACTACTGTCTCTATTTTTCTGTGAGGTCTTGTCAGCATTTCCAGCAGACAGGATGGTAAATGGCATGAACAGGAGACTGGGCATACCAAAGCACTCCCCACAGTCTGTTGCCAAAGGTAACCTGCAAGCACCCCACCAGAAATGTCCAGTGCAGAGCAATATTCTGATGGTGGATCTTTAGAAGTCTTTATCTCTACTTTGCACAATAGAAGATCTGAGAAATTAATACTAAAACTATTTTTTAATGATGAGAAACAGACATTTTATGTATCTGTGGGTCGCTTGGATATCACTGTTTAAATAATTAATTATGACTACTTCACACATGTTACAATTCAACTAATAAAGACTAATACTTAAAAAAATGATTTGATTGACATTCAGTGACTCTGTACTATTTTGGATGTATTATCATTTCCTTTGGGGCTAATAATAGTCCTGTACATTTAAGTAAGTATAATTCCATGGTGTGGTTCCATCAACCACTGAGGAATGAAGCATGTCAGGTCATACGGCTTGTCACCAGGACAGATCTGATGCCAGTGAGCTTGGATAAATGGTGACTCAACACCTCCTCTATGCCAGCATCTTGGGAGATGGAGGCGCCAGGTGGCCAGGTGGCCAGTGAGCGGGCAGTTTCAGCAGGATGAGGTTTTACAGTGTGCTTTAGTTCTCTAAACCTTGTAAGAGAGCAACCATTAACAAAGAAAATCTGTCACAATAATCATACATATTATATGTTCTCTAAATTATGAGCTCAGAAAGCCAAGGGAGGCCACCTCCTGGTCTGTACATGGTGAGCTGACCTTGGAGTCTCTATTTTTGCCATGGGGATTAAGAGACTTTCTGTCTCTTTGCCTCCCAGGCTGCTGGGAGAAGCCCATTGGCTCAAAAGAAATTAAAGAGCTTTGAAACTTGCAAAGCCACAAAAAGGCATTAGCGTGAATTCTCCAGGCTGTGAGACCATCGTCTAAATGACCTAAGTTTCTAAAGTACCCCGTCTTTGCGTAGGTCATATGGCCATTTACCAATTCTACTGGGTGCATCTATTTCAATCTGGTCAACAGCCTGACTTCATGCAGGAAAGGTACTAGAACCCTATCTCAGATCAAAGACAACAAGAATATGACCACTGTGTGAAATAAACTATGTAAGACCTGAGCATAGCAGATTTCAAGTGCCTTTGTCTATGTAAACTAACTTAAAGTAGCTGTCGAGGAACCTCACTATGATTTGGGGATGGTTTCCCTTACTGCCAGAGGCTCTGTGACTCACCCTGAGCTGCCCAGGGTCCTCCCTCCCTTCCACTCATCCACAGCCCAGCTGACCTCAACTCAGCCCAACTGGCCTCAGACAGCCACATCCACCTTACACCGTGCTGCCTAGAAGCCATTGTTCAAATGCATCCGGGATGATACTCCTCTATTCAAACAGGGATTCATGGAACTTTTATAGGAATTACTTGTCACCTTTTGTAGGAAGTCTTTTCTGAAGCTGTCCTTACTATCTGTCATTAGAAGAAGCTCCAAACACCCCTCTCACCACCAAGTAAACAATGCTGGTCATTTTCCTCAGAGGACCCTGGCTGGGTTGTTTCACAGTAGCATCATTGAGTAACAAGAACGCCATGTGAACTTGAACATCAGTGCCATCTATCCAAGGCATTCTTCCTGCAAGGGATAGCAGAAGCCGAAGTCCAGACGGATGACTGAACATAATTCACGGCACACTTAAGGGCCACTTACATGAACAGTCCTCAGCAGCCTCCGGGGAAAATAAGTGTGAATTTTCAGGCTGGGCAGAAATGGTTCTCTACGGTCATCCACAAAGTATCTTTCCAACCTCCATCTGACCACTTTATCACACCAACTGTCTGTGGTCACAATTCTCAGCCATATTTTCTACCGTAAATATGGTAGGCAGCTCTACTCCAGTGGAAAGTCTCTTCCCTGCATATCTGCTGGAAAGGCACCTGATTCTAGGCTAGATGTGACCTGCTGAGACCTGTCGCTAGGGCCTTAGCAGGCCCGGCCTTCTGCTGTTTGCCCCTGGAGGATGGCTGTGGAGTGATGTGTACAAGTCTGTGGTGTCATGCTGAGCTCTCAGCCCTACGACACCAACTAGCACACACCAGCCACTCACGCTTAAACACTTCTGA